CCTTGACTCTGTGTAAGCACTGCTCAGCAATAACGAAAACACCCCTGTGGTATCAACACTGTTTCCAGCACAAATCCAAAACATAGCCCCATACTAGCTACTATGAAGAAAATTAACTACCCCAGCCAAAACCAGCACAGCCGGTTAGAGCAAACAGACCTTGTGACATGCCCTGCATGCAGCATCCAAGGAGCAGCTCAGCGGCAGAGCCCTGGGGAGGATGTCCAGCAGATGTTACGTCCCAACCCGGTCCTCCACAAACTGAAGAACAGGGAAACCGAAGACTCAAGAGCTAACCTGTCCCACCTGCCCAGAGCTGCTGGGAAGTGAAATGCAGTGAGGTGGTAATGACTCACAGATTAGGAAGAGCTTTGTACACCCATGCTAATCCTGCACTGTAACCTGTGGATTACAGCAGCCAGTGCAGAGCGCAGGACGCAGACACAGCCAGATAGCTCACTTTCTCCCAGCCTCACCAACGAGCAACCAGTGGTTGCCATATCTGGGACAAATACAAGGATTTCTGCGTCAAATCCAAGGTTTAGAGCTGCTTGCAAGTGGTCATGCATGGACATGGAGAGAGGAACAGCAAGTGACGTTGTCAGGGACAGAAAAACTGGTGAGAACCACCCTTGTTTCATCATCAGTGTTGCAGAACGGGGCTTCATGTGGCTAAGGGTGACCAGCAGCTTTCCCCAGTTAGGAGCACAGACTAGAAAGCAGCAAGTAAGGAGCTCCAGACATCACCTCTGATGTGCAAGCACTGCCGTTGCCATGTCTGGGATGAAGATTAACCAGCAGTCTCTCCTCCAGAGATCAAGGTTACTGAGGCAATTTAATCCCTGTGGCAACACAAACATGGTTGTTCAGACCAGGGATATTACGGGACCAGGAGAAGACAGCAACCTTGTAGACCACAACTCACCGTATAGAGGTAAAAGTGAACAGCTGCCTAAAAATTCCCATCAGGAAAAAGCACTTTGGCACTGAACTCTGCCAGCACCCACCCCCCCATTGCCCTACAGCATCCAAGTCTTTAAGGAGGGTCGGTTTGGCCAGATACGGGAAATTTTGTTGTGCAGCTGGGTAAACCTACAGTAGAAACTGGGGTTGGTAACCTAAATGAATCAGAAATGTTGAGGGATGACCAGGTGACAAAGAAAGGTCACTTCATGCCTACAGATGGTCCCACTAGGATAAAACTAAGATGTATCTTCAGTGATTACATGGTGAGTTTGCACTGCAGGGTCCCACAGGTCTTGAGAAGGTGACAAAAGCGGGCAATTTAGGTATACCCCTCTATGCCAGCTCCAGCCAGGAGAGGAAGGGCATCTTCTCCAACCAGCGCCTTCCTTAGCCATCCCAGATAAGCCACGCTCACCCTTAGCCAGCACCGACACTGATAACGGAGGAAAGGCACCGCCACAGCTCATGTATGGATACTTCCCAACTTCCTAAAGGTTTCTGACCACCACTACCACCCCTTTCCCCAGCTGCAGGAGTAGGTGCACAATTTCCAGACTTTGGATTTCTGGCCCAGGTGGTGGCCACCTCCAAAATAAGAGGAAGGAGGACCTAAAGAGCTTCTGCCCACTGAAATTATGTGCAGCAGCACCTGGATCTCTGCTCCTAACCTTCCCCACCTCACCGAGAATGGGCAAAGGAAGGAGATGAAATGCAGGTACCTGCGCGGGCTGTGCTCATCTCCGGTTCTGGCTGGTACAGCTATGGGAAGGGATGGGCACACTGTTTAAGAACACTGCATCCCGTGCTGCTGTGCTTCCTCCCTGGCTCCCACATAGGAGCTCAAGTCAGCCGGAGCTGTGGCATGACCTGTTGCACAGAGCCCACCACGTCTGGACCTTGGAGCTCAGAGCCTGGGAAACATTTGCTGCTGGCTCTGCAGTGCCAGAACAGAGCATCAGCAGCTAAAACTACATCACTACCTGCAATTTGTACTTAATCACAAGAAAAGTATTTCCATGAAGAATAAAGGCTACAAATCTGAACACACACATTTGAGCATGTGAGAGCAAATGGTTTTAGTATAGGCTGTAGTGGGAGACCCGTGGTCTCAATTCATACACTTATCCGTAGGACCCACACAGAATTGAGTTCATAGCTCTTTTTCTGCTTCAACTTCGGAAATTTTGCCGGTAGATTTAAGGACCTCAGCAACAAAATGCAGCGACTCCGCTCCAGAGGCAAGCTGTCTGATGGACCAGTTTGCGCTCGTTATTACCTTGTGGAGGTTCTGCAAGGCAAAGTCTATGTTGTGCTTCACTGCCCCCAGGTCAGTTGTTTGGCCTGCTTTCAGGTTTTCGTTCTCCATCTTGGAGCTCTCCAGCTCTCCCTGGAGAATAAAGATCTCCTGCTTCAGCTTCTCCACATTGCTTTCTGCCTCCAGAGCCCGCTGGGTCATTAGCTGGAGACTCCACTCAGTCCGCTGGACAAAGGACTGTAGCTCTTGGGCTTCCCTCTTCTCTTTGGCCAGGCTGGCCTTCAGCTGCCTCTCCAGCCTCCGCACGGTGCACCCCTGG